AATGATTTTACAGTATGTCAAGGGCAACAACTACATACAGGAAATGCCTTGGAGTCTATAAATCGAAATGTATCTTACAGATAGAGCCCATTGTACGTGCCTAAATGACTATAGATACGATAACTGGCCCAGGCTGATCATTTGGCTGAAACGCAACTGTCTTAGCTGCCAACCCCTTTCGCTATGCTCACAGGATAATCCCTGACAGCTGTGCCCACATATACTGGTAGCCTTCCCGGACAAATACACATGTCTATGGCACATACATACATACACGTGCATACATACGCGCATACATATGTAAGCTGCCTATACTTTTATGGACTTGTATGCCTTTAAGTCCTTTTCATGTTGGCTTTCGGGGTTTTATGTCAGAACTGGGGCTTCAATTTTGTTTTTGGAGCGCAGCCGTGTGGCAGTAACCTGAGTCGAGTCGAGTTGACGTTGTCGTTTTTGCATTGATGTTGCTTCTTCTGCTCCGTTTCGTACCGCTACCACCGACCCCTCCTTCCTCACTCTCTCTGAGTCGCTTCCTCCTTATGTTGGGTGCCGCAAGGTTCCCGCTTCGCACCTAACCTACACTCGTGGGTTTTCTATAGCTACAATTCTCTGCGCTACCTTAACGAGTATAGTGAGGCCGTCAGTTGACGTCTGACGTCGGTCGGAAATCCTTGAAATGAAAGTCCTGCTGCTGAGGAGGGTTGCAAGCTGCTGGGCAAAAGCGTAAAACGAAACTTTGGCTCAACTGAGCGCGATGAAGGCAATGCTCCCAGCTATATGTATATATATGGATGTTGTGTAATCGTAGCTCCGTCTATGTGTGTATATCTGTAGGGGTGCACGTGCACGTATGCGTGTGCGTGTGCGTGTGCGTCCGCTTGTATGTGTGGCTAGCCGCAGCGAGGTGCCTCGCCGGGATGCTGCCCCTATCGGACATACGCTCCCCATCGCTGGCGCTGCCTCCCCGGGCTATTCTAGCCATCCTGAAATTGATGTAGCACCTACAGCGCTCTGCTCCACGCACGTTCAATGCTCGCTCGCTCGCTGGCGCCCTCGCTCCGAATCGACTTACCGACCCAAGCCCAAGCCCAGCGGCAGCCCAGCTGCCCAACTTCCTCCCTGCCGCACTCCGTGCCCGTCCGTTGGCGCTGCAGGTCATTCTCATCACCCATCTCCGAATGGCCGGGACGCGTAAAGTTTTACAGGCTGAACGTAAAGTTTAAGCGCTGATTTCGTTGCGAGCGCTGCGGCAAAGGGCCAAGCGGATTATGTAACCCGAGCATGTGCATTGCACCTTGGCGAATGTGGCACAGGACCACGTGACAAGACATTCTAAATAGCCCATTATCTGACTCTGTCTATATATATATGCACGTACCATACACTCTAATGACTTCTCTTGATTGAAGTTATGTTTAATGAATGCATAACAAATAATTATAGCTAAAAGGGGGGCGGGTTTCTGGCCCTGCCCGGTCCCAGTTTTTTAACTCACATTTTCCGCTCTAGGATACAACCTTTAGGGGTAGAATTTCTGAAAAGTTTGAAACACGTCTCAGTTGAATTTTCGCAAAGACCCTTAAAACTAAGTTTGACGAACCAGTTGTATATATGGTTAATCAATCATCGAGAGGATAAGAAATCTATTAATTACACTTGACGGATTTCAAATAATGTTGGCTTGGGAAGAATAAAAGTATTCAACAGAATGCCAAGCATTTAAATATATGTAAAAGCTATGCGGAGCTAAGACTTTTCTTGAACAGAAAAGAATAAACTTAATTAATTATGTCTATACAATTGCTCTAGGTTCAAGCCAAGGCCTGGTTTTATAAATGTAGAAAACCAGGCTCACAGGCCGAACCCCCAGACTAGGAATTGTTTCTAAAATTAAACAAAAATATTTAAGGGTTTCATATATATATACATACATGTGTATACACGAGGCATTAGCATTTTCCAAACACAAAAGCACTGTTTATGCACACACACATAAATATTTATAACAACATTAATCAAACAAGGGTTGGTTTTCCACACTCCCAACATTTATCGAGCAAGGCTCTTAATACATAAACGTATTCATATTATGCTTCTATATATACATGCACTTATAAAACTAAGCCAGCAGTTTATTTTTTGGTCAAATTTGTAGTGAGAGTTCCTATTAGCAAATGTCGAATTCCCTTAAAGGGATTCTAATTACAATCGTCCTGTGTCCGATTGGCCGCCCCTTCGAAGATCTTCTCGAGCTGGGTGAGCAGTCCAATGGCACGATAGTTCTCCTCCAGCAGTGCGAATTCCTCAAGCGGCTTTAGCAGCCGCAGCGCATCCTTATAGTTTTCCACGCAACGCGGCAGCTCGCCATCGGCGCTATCCTCGGAATAGTGACCTGGACTGTGTGCACTAGGATTCAAAGATTCGATCTTTTGTATTTTGAGAGGCAGGCTCGGTACAGGACTATCCTCTTCTGCTGTTGGCCGCTTGAGGTCTCTGCGCTCGTCGCACGCACTGGCCTTATCTTGCTCATCGTCGTCATCCTTAATTTCGATCAGTTCCGTGGGCGTCTCAATGGCCACACAATCGTCGTCGTCATCGGCAACATTAATAGATTCCTTAACTGTTGCCTCCGGCTTTGGTTCCACCATGGGCACATGTACAAAAGGAGCGGAATCTTGAGTTTCCTTAGGCGTTAGCGTAATGTTGCCCAGCGACTGTTCCCGCTGCTCATGCCTGCCGCAGTAGCTGACGATATCGCGCAGATCCAGCGAAAGGGGCACTCGGCGCAGCATCATGTTGTAATGCACGCCTTGCGAGAAGCTAAAGTTGTAGTGGCTCTTGAAGTGATTGAACCACGTGCGATCCGGAAAGAAGTTCTCAATCTTGAGTATGTCGCGCAGATTAATGGCCACCTCGCGCAGATGATCCACGTCGAGGCGACCCTTGTTTTTGTGGTGAAACTGCGAGCGTGAAATGTACTCGAACAGCGCCTTTTCCAGGAAGTTGATCTTGCGCTTGCGCCGCAGCTGCAGCTCATCCAGGGTGGCCTGATTCTGGCTAGAGGCAGCCACCAGGGTTTTGGTGCGATACAAGGAGCGTATGTCCACGGGCTTACGCGGTGACAGCAATGCCGCTCGTCCACCGGCTGCTGGCGTGCTGACCTGCAGTGGTGTGACACCTTGCTGCGTGTTGAGCGCCACTGGAGGAGCAGGTAAATCCGGCAGCTTACTGCTGTCCGATGCTGGTATGTTCTTGCCACAGTAGGACATAATATCCCGCAGTTCCAGAGAGCGCGGAGGCTTACGCGTCATTGTTATCTGGCGATTCGAGAGCGTTATGTTGTAGGCCGCCTTGAAGTGATTGATCCAGGACTGATTGATGCAGAGACTAATTAGATTCGAATTCAGTTAATATCCGTTCCGAGCATACCTTGTGGGGCACGAAATGTTCGATGCCCATCAATGTCTGAAATTCCAATGCCTTGGTGCGTATGAGCTCCTCGTTGATGTCCACACCCAAATGGAACTGAGCACGCTGTATATACTCGTACAGGCAATGACCCAGAAAGTTGATTTTGCGTCTGCGCAGCTCCTCGAACTTGGAATTGGGCTGTCTGTTGTTGTGGCGCGTCGCTTCATAGAATTCCATAATGGGTTCTCGATTCGAGATAATGCTCTTGATTTGCTCCCAGCTACAGTTGAAATTCTTAGCCAGTTTGCTGTACATGGGCATAATATCATATTGCCGAATGACTTCTACGCGCTCCTCAAGCGTCAGGACATTACGTATACGTTGGGAGCAGCTGCCAGCGCTGCCACCGAACCGATTGGCCTCGTCCTGTGTATGAAGTCAAAAATTCTTATTGGAAAATATCCACATAATTGCTAGCTAAATAGCCAAAACGCTTTTCCAGTTAAACCTGATCGTTCATGTGTATTTGTCCGCTAGTTGCTTTTAGTAGTAGGAAAGTATCGCCCCATAATTTGATGAACTGCTTCTACTTACGTCAGACATTTGCTCAGTTCCGGGCGCTCACGCTCACGCACACAACAACAGCTAACGGATTCTCTCACGCGCTCGCTCACTTACTCTCTCGCTCGCGCTCTTCTTTACCTCAATCGATCGCGTGTCTGGCTGCCGCTCGCTGATATGGCAACGCCTAAACAAAACACAGAAAAAAAAAAACATTTTAATGTTATAAATATCGCAATCGTTGTGCTTAACGATTACTTTTAGATAAACCTTGTGCTTACCTGGGGATTTTTATAAATCTACTGCAGGTTTTTAGGCACGCAAACATCCAGAAAATAGCGTTCCGCACGAAACGTGTGGAGCGTAGCAGCAATTTGGTGCAACTGACGCGGCCTGTAATCTCTCCGAGACGGCTGGAAAATCAGGTTTGGCGAGTTGTTCAAACTTGTTTACGGAGAGTGGGAGAGCGCTCTGCTCTCTGCGCGCTCTTTGCCGCTCTTTGTTATTGCGATCGGAAGTGCGTGTGTGTGTGTGTACTTTTGTAGCTATTTTTACTGGGAGCAAACGAATCTCATGAGCGGCACCGCGAATGTGGGCGGCAAAGAGGCCGGTCTGAATTCACTTAAATATCAAATGCATTTTAATCATTCTTGTGTCAATGCACAAATGATTAAAGAAAGCACGAAAAATAGGTCTGGCCGTATTTAATTAACATTTTAGAATGATGAGTTAACTATTTAGTGCAAAGCAAATATCTAAGTACTTAATCATTTATATGTCCGATCGCCCCATTAACTCAGATAGTCTCTCTTTGATATTATCAAGGGCCCCAATTCTGGATTATTTGAACTACCTAAAAAATTAAATGTAGCGTTGCCAGACTTTCATATAGCTTGAGTAGGAGACACCCTACATGCTCTCTCGAACATGGCCTTTCTATGCGGTTTTCACGAATTCAATTAAAGCTGTACGACTTTTGTGTATTTTTATTGAGTTGCGAGAATAAGCGCATTACAGAGCCCCGGGGAAAGAGAAAATAACGATAACACACAGAACAATAAACACATATTTTATAGATGCACTAAATAATATCTGAATGGCCATATAATTGGCACCAATTAAAAATGTATTTGTTTTGGCACACAATAACAAAAAGAAAATTAAAAAAAAAAAAAGTCATGCATTCAATTACATTTCATATGTACTTAAATTAAGAATTTAAAGTTGCATTACCCAACTTGAGGTAAAATCTTTCTTAAAAGCAAAACTTAATATTGTATACAACTTTCAGAGTGATATACGTAAACTATTTATGAAGATGTTTAGTTGCCCAATATTTTAAGGAAAAAATGTTGTGTTTAAGAACTACTCATTAGTCGGGCTTGTCGACCGGCTTTTTGTAGACGGGCCCCTTTTTGCGCATATATTGTTTGATAAACTCGTAGGACTTATGTTTAACCGATTCCGTGCAGGCCAACGGATTGCCGGTCATGTCGCAGTATCGCATCTCCTTGGTGGTTATGTGGTGGCTCAACTGCAAGGATATTGTGTTATTTAATTCCATTAGAGTGTATCCCATTGAAATTACCCTCTTAATAAGGAACTTATAGTCCTCATCGCTTGTAATGCGGCCCAGCTGGCAGGTATCCTGGCGATAGGGACGTAAAAACTCGGCCACGTGACCGCTAATCTCAAAGTGAAACTTGTCACTGGCATCGCGTCCGGTTATCATGCTAAAATTATTCAAAGGGTATGTTATTATTCACTTGTGTTGTGGTCTTGGCCAGGCTTACGTCTTGCGCTTGCTGTCCCGATGCTTCTTTTGGCCCTCCGTCAGGGGCAGCTTGCGCTTTGCGCCTGGCAACGTTTCCGTTTCTGTTGAACTAGTGGATTGTGGCGAGGTTGGTCGAGATTGGCGTCGACGACTCACTGTCTCTGACAATTCCTTTTCGCCATCGGCAGTAGAATCAGCCAGCGGTACACTGCCCACGGCATCGGCGGTCGCCTCCTCATCCGAGGAGTACAGATAGCCATGTATGGGCAGCGAATCACTGGACTCTCCAGCTGGCGGTGGAATACTATTCGCCTCATTGCGTGTGCGTCGATAGATCTCTTTGCGTCGGCGAATCTTCTCCTTGTTCTCCTTGTACTTGCGCGACTCCAGCTGATTGTAGAGGCGATCCTCCTCGCGACGCGGACTTATCACGCGCACAGAGACGAGGCGACTGCGTCGCAGTTCGCGTCGCTCGCGTATCTTGACCTCAATGTATTGCGCTAGGGATTTGGCGCTGAGGCTGCCCACATAGTCAATATCGATGTTGATCAGATCGGCCGAATTGGCAGTCTCATCCGTTGCCAGCTCCTTCTCTGGTGATTCCTCTACCAGCTGTTGCAAACGCTGTTCAGCATTCGGTGGCTCCCACTGTGGAATCCGATCGCGCAGATTGTAATAATATATATCCCCCTCGGGTGTTAGGCTCCAGTGCCAGGAGGGCGGCAACGGATCCACGCCAGCGGGCAGCTTATACTCCACATCATCCTCATGTTCCGGTGAAGGTGGCTCAGCGGCATCGCCGCAGCGCAATGGCACTGGCACTGGCGCATCCTCGCTGTTGAACCATTCGTTGGTCTCTGTGTTCTGGTAAAATGGCAGCAGCTTGGGATCTGTGTTGAGATCTGCGCCGAAATATTCACAGCGTAGCTCGTGCTCGCGCCAATCTTCACTCCCAACACGCTTCTCCGCCTCGTCCTGGGCCACCTGCATTGCAATAAATTGGCTGAATACTCTGAGCTCTGGGTTTCTCCTTGCCCTTCACTTACCTTTCTCTCGAATAGCGAACGCCGCAGCTCCTTGGATATGGTTCGACGTGGATCGAACTCGGAACGTCTACGACTCTCAGACTTGCTCCCACTGGCGCTCTCTGTGGTGCCCTGCCATTCTTTGGGCTGTGTGGTGATTGTGCAGATGGTATTGTTGCCGCTCATCCGAGTTGGCGGCTTAGACTTTTCGTAGCGGCTGCTGGTGTCTCGCCTGAAACGATCCTGCCGGAACCGATCGCTGTTTAGCACGGAGGAGGCGCTGTTGCTGTCCTCCAGTGCGGTGGCCGCGTGATGCACCTGCTGCTGGCGATCCGCCTCGCGTTCGTGCTCCTTCATTTGTTCGATGCGTTCCCGTTTGGGTATGCGAAAGATTTCGGGCAGGCCATTCCACTTTTGTAGCAGCGCCGCAATGCGCTGACGCACTGACTCGTCCTCCTCCGTATTCGATTCTGGTGGCGGCTCCGTTGGCATCTCAGCTGCTGGCTGTGCCAACTGGCTGCTCCATAGCTGCACGCTCTGATAGACGCGACTGTCATTCAGCATGGTTCTATTGGGTATAGGCAGCGACTCCAACGCCTCAAGCAGTGCCAGCCGCAGCTGCTTGTCGTTGCCGCTCTCGCTGATCCAGGCATGCAGCAGACGCAGGCCGTGGTAGTCGAGGAAGAGCCGACGACATGGCAGTTCGCCACGGGTGAGCACGCCCAGCAGCTGGAGGCGAGACTGCAGTAGCTTGGCACGCACCATGCAACGCGAAAGACGCAACGTGTCCAGCTGGTTCTTGAGGCCGCTGCGGCCGAGCAGCGTTAGCTGTTCCAGCACATCCGGGTCCTCCAGCTGGTCGGGCTTGCGTGTTGCTGACTTCTCGCCGCTGGCGCCGCCCGATGGACGCAGCCAACGTCCCGCCTTGTACTCGCGATCCTTGGCCTTTGGCTGCTCCTTGCGCTGTTTGCGCGCCGTCGGCAACTTGAGCTGCTTTCTTGACTTGCCGCTCCTGGGCGTTTTGGTCTTCAGCTCCTGCTGCTCCAATCGCAGCTCCTCGACCAGTGACTCCGGCTCACTCTCGCTTTCCGTATCGAGCTGCTCGCCCTCATCCGACTCGGGCTCGTTGCCAATCCAGCCACGACAATTTGTCGACTCGCAGTAGCAGCGCTGGGCATCGCGTCCGTAGCGTTGATATTGGTAATCAAAGGTGATCTCCTCGCCGGGCAGGATGGTCTTCACGCTAAAGAATCCAATGCGCAGCTCTCCGTTCACAGTCCACTTCTGCGTCTCTGCATTCGGATCACAGCTGTGATTGATGTACCGCGAGATGTTGCCCTTTGTGGTCGCGTCGATGATCGCCTCGCCGCGCAGAGCCATAAAATAATAGTGTCGATTGCGGTCCTCCGAGTACAGATGCTGGCGACGCTCAAACTCCTCGCTGTCTATCACCTCGCCCACGTACTCCATGATGAACTCGCCGGGCGGTATTTGCAGCTCGGCAGTAATACCGCAGCCCTTCTTCTCGGTGCGAAAGACGCGACAGGGCCAGCCCTGATGCTGCTGGAAGCGTTTGTTTGTGCAGCGCTCGCCGTAGGTGCACAGTGGGCCACATTCGATCATAAGCATGCGGTTGATGCAGCCATCGCCGCAGCGCAGCTGGCCCAGTCCCTCCTCGTCGCCGGTGACAAAACAATCGCACTGCATTTCTGCGTTCTCCTTGCTCACCTGCCGCGCACAACGATAATAGTTGTCGCGCAGCGTTTGGAATGTGTGGAGTCCTTCGTTGCGTAGGAACTGCTCGTTGATAGTCTCAATCTGTGCCAGCTCGGCTAGCTGTTGTTCCATGCTAATGGCCGGCGTTTGACTGCTGCTGCCACGCCCCAAACTAGCCTTGGCGCCTTGTGGTTTCTGTTTAATGCGATGCGAACGGCGTACGCCCGAGGACAGATCCTCAGTGCTGCCCACGGGTGAGGGAGCCGGCGTGTTGGCTGGTGTCTCCAGATTGGCCACACGCTGGGCAAACTCATCTTCAGTTATCTCCTCTTGCAACTGTGGCTGTGTCTGCTGCTGCTGCTGCTCTTGCTGCTGCTGCTGTTCATCCTCCAGCTTGTAGTCGCGTTCGAGCAACTTGACGCCATCCTCTATGAACTTGGCTATGTCGTGCAGCGGATTGGATGCTTCTAGCTCAGAAGTGGGCGTTGGCAAGCTGCGGCCAGGCAGTTCACTGGCTTTTGTCGACGAGCTTGAGCTGGAGTCCAGCGAGTCCTGGCTGATGGGCAGCTGTTTGGCTGTTGCTGCTTTTCGCGACGGCTTCCTTTGGGCTGACTTCTTGTTGCTTCCGCTGCTGCTGCTGCTAGGCTTGGATTCTGCCTCGGATGCGCGCTCTGGACTCAGCGTTGCCTTGAAAGGATGCACGGAGTTGCGACGCTTATTGGTCAACGGCAGCTTGTCTTCCTCGTGGCGTTCCTCGGAAATTGTGTTGCGACGTGAGCTCTCCTTTGGCGCCTGCTTTTTGCCACGGGCCAGCGGCGTGGTGCGTTCCTGCGTATGTTCGGATAACTGCTTCTTGCTTGCCTGCTTAGACTTCTTTTTTGCCTTCTCTTCGTGCCGCATCTGGGCATGGGCTTTGTCCAAGACCTTAAACAGCGCGTCGCACTCAACAAAAGTTGTGTTTGCCGAGGAGGAGGAGGAGGAGGAAGATGGCTTCTCCGGCTTAGGACTGTCACTTGTTTTTTTCTTTTCACTAACAGTTGATTTTGTTGTGGCCAAATCCAGCTTTGGTTCCTCAACAGCGGTTTTGACTGTCTTGGGTATTGGTAGAGCTGCGGCTGTGGCTGCTTCTGAGGGAACTGACGAAAGCTGTGGATCACCTGTTTTCTCAGGATCTGAAGGACCTGACGGAAGCTGTGGAGCAGCTTTTGCCTCAGCGGGTTTGTCTGCCAACGGCTGCCGCTGCTTTACAGGCATGTCTTGCTTGGCCAGTTGCCAGGACACAGCTAGCGGCGTTTCAGTCGTGTCTAAATCTGGCTGCTTTTTAATTTCAGCCTTTAAAGGCTCTGAAATTGGATTGGCATTTAGAAGTTTTTCCATAGTCACGGGCAGCTTCAATTCTATGCCCGTAGCTTTGGCCGCGCGCCTGAGAGATTCTAATTCGAAATGTGCTACGGCTTTGTACGCCGGCTGCGGAGTAGGCTCCATGATCTTGGTCTTGTCTTCTGGCTTCACAGCAGCATTAGGGATTGAGTCCGCCTTTGACTCTGACGCAGTTGCAGTTTTTGTTTCATCGCTTTTGGGCTGCGCAGCTGAAGAATTTGGTAATGAAAGTTCCTCCTTTAGCTTCACAGCCACCTGGAACTCATCCTTAACCTGCATTGGACTGGCGCATTGCTGCTGCTTTTCCTCTGCCTGCAAATCTTCAACAGAACCTGGACTGGGCAGCTTGCTAGCTGCTTCAGTGCTTAGCGTCGACTCCGTGTCGCTGCACTTCTGCTGCTTCTGCAGATTCATATCTCCAATAGATTCTGGACTGTGCGAATCGCTTGCTAGTTCAGTTTCGAGCTTCGGCTTGTTATTTAGCTGCTGTTGCTGCTCCTCCTGCTGCATCTGCACTTGTTGCTGCTCCTCCTGCTGCACCTGCACTTGTTGCTGTTCTTCGTCCTTATCCTCGTCTTCGGTAAACCAGAGCTCTGCTGGCTCGCTGAGCACTTCAGCCAGTAGTTCCGATTCCGTTTTCTTCCTCAGCTCATGCAATTTTTCACCCACATTAGGCTCGGCTGGCGGTTCACAAAGCTGCTCAACAACGCATAGCTGCTGGGCCACAGGCTTCACATCTGCTTGTTCCTGCTGCAGTTGCTCTTGCTTGGGAAATATAAGCTTGAAAATGCGTTTATCCTCAGATGTGTTGGTTGGGCTCTCGAATTCTGCTTCTTCTGCTATATCCGATTCAGATTTTGTCGTCTCAATATCCACAAATATAATTTGTGAATCCGAATCTTCATCACACGGCACAGTGATGATCTCAGTCTCAACAACATCAATTGTTGTATCTAACACTGTGTCATCCTGCGGTATTTGTGCAGCATTTGCTGCATCCTCCACAGCCAACGGGGGCGGAAAGCCCTTCAGGGACTCATCAGAGTCAGAGGCGGCTTCTGCTTGCTCCATGCTACCAGCCAAGTTTGGCGCAGAATTGTGCAAGCCGGCATCCAGTTTCGAGCAACCAACTCCTGTTGGATTGTCTGTGAACTGTGCTTTGCGTGGGCGTCCACGTTTGCGCATAGGCTGCTGCTGCTGCTGCGGCAGCGGATAGGCAGAGCTTGTTCTATCGCTGCTCACCTGAGCAACAATCAAGCTTGGCATTGGCTTCGGCTTGGTAAACATGTCCAGCGTCGGCAATGGGAGCACCGCAGGCAGCAGCGGTGGCGGACGCGGCGTAATCAAACGATTAACCTCGATTATTGGCGCTGTCACTGTGGACACACTAGCTGCCAGTTGGGACGTTGGTGTCGGTGCATTAGAATCGATGCGTGCCTCAATTTGTATTTTGTGCGTCTTGCGGCTTTTGTTGAGCACATCGAGCACATCAAATTTAATGATTTTCTTGCGAGTGCTGCGCCGGCAATTTGTTGGCGATGTTGACGAAGTGCGCTCCTCGGCTAATGATTCCATTTCCTCAGCTGCCTCAGACTCTTGTGCATTGACCTTGGGCGGTCGGCCGAGACGTTTGCGTAGCGCCGGCTGCTTTGCGGCTTCGTCTGATGTTAGCTTGTCCATTTGATTTGTTGCTGCACTTATTGGCAGCATGCAAATGTATACAATTTACGTTTACTGCTGCGATAAATGCGCAATTGGCTTCCTTTTTACACAAAAATTCAATAATTAACTGTGAATTCGCTGCGCAGACCGATGGATACTCACATATTTGCAGAAATGCCGAATTTTCAGGATTTGTTTATAGTAATGTTGCGCGGGTGACCATTTCATTCAATAACTCAAATGCACTAAAAAATACCAAATTCATCACTTTGACTTGCCAAATCTCAGCTGACGCACACACACACAATTGGAATGTGGCAAACAGCTGGTAACACTGCTGATTGTGACAACAAATGAGCGTCAGGGGTAAATATAATGTAAATATCAATTTAAACATTACATTTAACACTTTTTGGTTAATTTCTATAATTGTAAACACACTTCGAACTAATTGTGACCCGTTTTATTGCTTGACCTAATTACACTTATATTTACATGCATATAGACATATCACGATTGCTATAGCTCAAAGTCGGAAAGGTTCGGCGGACTTTTGAATGCTTTTTCCGTTTCCGTTAAAAGTCCAATAGCACGAAAATTCTCATTCAGCATGGCATATTCTTGCAGGGCCTTCAAACATTGCATAGCCTCGGCATGATTGTCGATGGAGATGGCGTTCGTAATGTCATCTTCTTTATTTGTAGCTTGATGTTCCGGTCCTAATCGATCTGTTGTTATATTAGAATGCGTTGATTCCTTTGTTTCCTCCACCATTATACCTTTATCGTTAACATATTTCGGTTCCTCCTCCATCTGAACTTCATCATCTACATGTTTCGCTTCCTCCTCCATCTGAACCCCATCATCTACATGTTTCGGTTCCTTCTCCATCTGAGCTTCAGCATCTATATCCTTCGTTTCCTCTGCCATTTGAGCTTTACCAACTGTATCCTCCACTATGTGAGCTTCATGCACTGAATCATCCACTATATTAATTACAGGAATTGTAAACTCTACTTTTGATTTCTGTTCCCCTTCTATAATGCGCTTCTTAACGTGAGCTTTTAGGAATTTCATCGTCTCGCCATGGTTATTAATGACAATTGGCTTGGGTCTGGCATCTTTAAGATCTTCAATTTTCCCGTCGTCTCCAGACTTGCGCTTTTTTGCAAGAGCCTGTTCAAACGTTACAAAGTTTGTTCATTTTACAAGTTCCTTGTATTTAGGTTTTCTATACTTACCAAAGGCTCACAAGTCTTAACCTGCTTATTCTCAAATCTTGTTTCCTTTAAAAGATGCACAATATTATTTTAATTTGGGTTTAAGTAACTTTTTACTTACTATTGGCTCATAATTATGAAATAGTTCGAAGAGCTTAGCATTTTTAGTATGCTGCTGATTATTCGTTCCATCCGATTTCTGTGAATGATCGATTTTTATATTGGAGGAGTACGTACTATGTATGGAGCGCCCGGTTCTACCTGTTTATTTCGGGCTTCCAAATCTTTCAGCTTTGTTTGGTAATTTTCCAGTATTCTTTGTATTGTGTGTTGCTCTTTAACCATGGAATATACTTTACTCAAGTAAATATTGCGTGATTTAATGTTCGATTCGGTTCTGATGAGCTTCCGAAAATTGAAAAGTTTTACATTGGTAGTTTTTAAATGGTCTTCCAATTTCGATATAACCGTTTGCAGTGCACACAGTTCTTCGCGGGGAACTGCCGGTATTATGTCAGTCATTGATTCTGACATTGATTCAATTACAATTGCAGCAAATTAATTTACAAATGAAAATTTGTATGAGAATCTGTATTTGCTTTAATGTTGTCTTACACAGTCAATACTTTTTCGATTGTTTGCTTGCGTTGCCACCTCTTCCGAGCGATAGATATATCGATTGCATGTTGCCGGCGTTGCCGTACAGATATATTTTGTTCGCCCACACGCCGTGCTATCGAAATCGTCATTATTGATGTTCAATGGGACGCAACCTTTTCGATATGTGTTCGAAATTCAATCCATTGAATTTTTTATTTATAAAAAATAAAAAATGTCACAATTTACGATACACTTTCTGTTCAAGGAATGCACAACACTTTTCAACAAGTCTGCTATAAAATTTTGTATATTATCTTCGTTGAGATTAATATATATTTATTGATATTTATATATTTTATATACGCATCAAACTTAATTTCCGATTGAATAACTAAAAATGTCTTATCGACTTTACCTTAAGCGCCACGAAATATGCAATGAGCAAGTTGAATTGTATATTTCATTCAATTTCGTTAAGCTGGCGGAATCGTTGAGTTCAAAATTTAAATGCAGCCAACTTCATGTAGGCCTGTGTAGTTTTCAAATGAACTGAAGTTGGCTGCAACAGTGGCGACATCTGGCGGCAAATATACAAGCTTCAATAGAGCCGGCCTTTAAATATTTAAATGATTCACATAATGTTTCTCCTTCAATCAATCAATCAAATGAAATCCAAGTACTTAGTATATTTGAATTGACAAACGAAGATATGGTAAACCCATTCCAATGGAGCGTGCATAACATAAACTGTTGAGTTTAATTTCCGCTTTATAGCATACAAAATTAACATATTGCTTGAATATTTATTAAGCAGCTGCGCATACAATGTGTGAAAATTGGTCAAAAGACGAGTTCCCGTTTTTGGCCAATCTTGCGCAGTTCCGTTTCGGGCAACCGAAAACAAGCGTGAAACAATTTCAAAGTCAAACCAACCCTTCGGTACGCACCTTGCACCTTGCAGCTTGGCAGGGAGGGAGTGCAGCGGAGCGCGCAGCGTTGATGGGCGAAGGTGTTGCCAATGGATGCGTGGGGGTTGCAAGCAGTCAACTGCCAACTGACAATTGGCCAACTGCTAACTGCGGCGGTTGAAGGTTTGAGAGGCAAACCAAAAGCGAGTAATTGTTGCGCAACAAGCGAGCCTCCAGTTACGCCAGTGATTTTCCCAGACGGACGGGAATAGGGGCAAGGCAGCGATGCGGCAATGCAGCGGGGCATAAAATGTGGGAAAACGAGTGCAGCACATTTTAAAAGCACACAAATTATGATTGACAGCCTGAACCTTTGGGCAATGACCAACGGCTTCATTATGTTCGAGCGGCTCCCACAATAAGTTTTCTGCTGCTTGTTTGGAAATTGCATTTCGTGCTGGCACATTTCGTTTCAATATGTGACGTTGCTGCAGCTCGGGCACCGACAAGATCGGGCAGAAAAAAAAAAGGTTCAATGCACGCGGGTCACGACTTGGCGGCATCCGTATCGGAGCTTGTGGCCGGGCGCCCATAAATCGGCAGCGGGCTGGCAACTGCAATCTGGAGCCTGACGTGTTTTGGCTGCCGTTGCCATTTGGTCTGTGACTGTGGGGCCAGAGTCTGGACTGTGATCCGCGACTTGTCAATCAATTTCCATGCCCGGAAATGTTTGGCCGCAATGATGAATGCTATTGGCCTGGCTAGAATTAAATTGCCAGCCCATTTGCTATTTGTCAAATTTTCATTAGTCAGCCATAAATCGAATCTAGCCGCGCGCATTCATTTTGGCCAGTCAAACCATAAATTTTACGGCAGTCGGCCATCGGACTGATTCTCACGAGCGAGCTCTTAAGTTTTGTGGCATTAAGAAAAACTTTCTAGTTGTTCACACCAAGCGCGTGTGCAGCTGGCGGCAGCAATTGCCAATTGCCAATCGCCACCTGCGCCACAAACTTGGCTGCAGATCGAGCTGCGAGCTGCGGGCTGGGAGCTGGGAGCTGGAAGCTGCAGACGCAGACGCAGTCGCAATCGCAGTTGGTGCCGCGTTTGGGCTTGTTGCTTGACTAAAAGCGAATTCCAGTTGCAAACCCATTTTTGGCACGATCAAACCGCAGATCGACCTGGCCGGGCCGGGCCATTTAGGGAAGAGGCCACAGCCAAGCGCGGCAGCTCCTGCTGCAGCTTGCAGCATTGATTTGAAATTGTCTGGAACGCACACGTGGTGGCTACACAAATGCAGGTGTGTGTGTGTGTGTGTGTATGATCGTGATTGTCAGCATTGGCATCCAGCTGTGAGAACGCACCCACTTGGCTGGCTGACTGGCTGGCTCACACTCATACACACACACACACACACACACCCACAACCGCAACCAGATCGCGACGAGGCCAGCGGCCCCCGATCGTGCTGGCTATCGCAATGAGCGGAGGTATTACTGTGGCGGCCAACTGGCGCTGCTGCTGCCGCTGCTGCTGCTGGCGGCCAGCGTGTTGATTGATTAATCATTGCTGGTAATTTGATTTTGTGCCATTTGAGTTACCGTTACGCTCTCCTGTTCCGCCCCGTCCTGTGCCGCTCCAGCTCAGAGCTGCTGCTGCCGCTGCTGCTGCCGCTGCTGCTGCGGGACAAGCCTCTTTTCAGCGCTTTGATTGATTGTTTCATTGCATTTGAGCTTTGCCATATATTCACCTGGTTGCCCATAGACAAGTCATGTGTCGTGTAGCAGTCCGTCATATTGTGTCGATCCGTACCTCGCCCGCTGCTCAGTTATGAATTTTTGCCATGTCAGCTTAACTGTCAAAATCCTTGAGCCCAAACCTCAACTCCAACTCTGGCACACTTCTGATGCAGCCGATTAAACCCCGTCACCAGAGACAATGTTGACAGTCTTGGCAGCCGATCAACGATCCACGCTCTATGCTAATCGGGTACGTGGGAATACCTTAATCCTCAATTAAATTCGCATTAACTGGGGTTATTATAATTTAGCCACTGAATGTGTTACGCTTTGAAAGAGACATCTGCGATTCTATTAATAATATATATTTTCGATCAGGTCTATATGTTGAGTCATTAAAGCTTTTTCCGTCGAGTAATCTATCTGTCAATATCTTTGCAAGATAGTCCGTCATTCTTATAGCTATCTGAATAAAACTTAACATAGACAAAACTAAACAAGAAGAATTAGAAGTTTGTCTGGGTAGCTAAGTATTTCAAGAACCTTCCGATTCTATTATTAGCAGACTTTGCTATCAAATCTAAATTCGTCAGGTCTTGGGTTTAGTTCAAAGCTGTAACCATTTGGAAATTGTAAGCAATGCAAAGGGGACAAAGCTATCAAAACTAAAGTCTAGTCTTCTACGCTACAGGATATCGATATAGATTTTTATCGATTGCTTGGAAACGGAGTAAGTTATCGATTATCGGAAACAAACTTGATCTGCGCGGGAACTAGGAGCATCTACATCTAAAATTTAAGAGTCTCTAGCTCTTATAGGTTCTGAGATCCTTGCGTTCATACATACGGACGGGCGGACGGGCGGACGGACGGACGGACGGACGGACGGACGGACGGACAGACAGACGGACATGGCTAGATCGACTCGGCTATTGATGCTGATCAAGAATATATATACTTTATGGGGTCGGAGTTGCTTCCTTCCCTGTTACATACATTTGGATTTTGCACAAATACCCATTTTTAATGGGTTCAGGGTATAAAAAGGGCAATGAGGCATATTAAAAGAAAGTTTTGATAAATAAATAATTACTGTAAATTCTAGATAAATGTGATCAAAATACATACCAGTCTGTAAAGGCCAGAAGATCCTATAGTTAAAGTTGATTCGTCTTAGCTTTCGAAGAGATCCATTTGTAAACCTAGTGCCAAGTGCTGATCAAAAGTAATTCTTCAGCTTATCCATAAGCCAAGCACTCGCCTTGTAGAGAGCCGAGTGCCCACGTGTTGGCACTTGTTGTGCGTTGTTAGCTGAATTTGGCATGCGGCCGAAAGCTGTTGTTGTTGTTGTTGTAGCTTTTGCTGGCCGGGAGCCAACTGGAGCCCGTAAATCATTTGCCAGCGTCAACAACTTGTCAACGGGCCAGGCAAAAGCCATTGACTCGCCATCGAGAGGTTGGAGAGGTTTTCGCTGTCGACTGTCCGAGATCGGCTGCAGTTTTGGTCCAGTCATGGCTCATGTTGCATATAAATGGTGCTTAATGAGCTCGTGCCAAATAGAATTGTCAGGCGCCGTATTCCCCCCTCGCCCCTTTATCTGGCCGACGATAGCGTGTTCGTGTTGCGCTCAAATTGCTGTTAGAATTCCACAATTTTATGGCCGGGCATTGATTTGATCACGATTCTGCAAAGTCTGGCATATGTAAAACCAAATATGGCTGTGCCGAGCTTGGGGCGCGGCAGGTGCAGTGGGCCCAAAAACTGGCCCAAACGGCTGCCAGAGACGTTGGACACGCTGGAGACGTCGGAGACGTTGGAGAGCTGCTTTCCCACGCGCCTAGAGCTGAAAGTGGAGTCCTATTGTTTTGGGTGCAATCTGCCATCTTGGCAGCCGCTAACCACTAACAAGCTGCGTTTCGCCTTTATTATTTTTAATTGGACTGATTTCCCGCTACAGATACATTTGTATCTGCGCCTGCGCCTGCGCCCAGTGACATATGCAGCGTACGTCCAGCCAATCATCCTAGGCCATCATCAATCCAAATGCAATGGCTCGGTTCGACTGTACTGCGCCGCCGCCGCCAGCTGCCATTGCCTCTTGACCAGCTATGGACGCGGACATCTGTTTGGCATTGTTGGCACTGTGTTGCAGCTGTGTCCAACGCCAAGTCGAAGGGTTGCCCCTGCCGGCTGCCAGTTCTAGCTCTAGGGTTGCTGCTCAAAGATTCCCACGATGCCGCTAGCGCAAAATCAGCTGCAGTTTTTCGCGCAGTTTTTTTTCTCCTTCCTTTTTTCGTCCTTGGCGCCTGCTTGAGCCAGGGGTTGGGCTGGGCTGAGCTGGCAGCCGCCTCGTTTAG